ATAATACCGAGTTACCGACGTACTCATCAATTTGCATGTACGTATACGTACAGGCCGGCCGGTCACTGTCACTACGCCCAATCACACATGCCACGTCTGTCTACTCATCTGGAAAAAGTCTCATTTTCGCTTTGACCCTCCAACACTAGCTATATAACCCCCTGCATTGCATTATATCTCCTGTCCATCACCAAGTTAATCTGAGCTGAGCATCGATCAAGTCATAAGAAACGCAGCTAGCTAATCCACAGCACACACAGTGTTACAGAAACAACGACGACAATGGCCGCTTGGACAACAAGGAAGGCGAGCACCACCACCAACGAGGCCGGTTTCTTCACTCGCGACGACGACAAGCAGAGGAAGATTAGGGCCCCGAAAGGGTACCTCCCCATAGTGCTGGTCCGCAACGACGACGGCGACGACGAGGGCGGTGCAGGGACGACGGAGACGAGGGTGCTGGTGCGTGTGAGCGACCTCAAGGAGCCGTGCATGGCTGCGTTGCTGGAGGCGGCCGAGGAACAGTTCGGGTACGGCCAGCAGGGGGTGCTCAAGGTCCCCTGTGACGCGCAGCGTTTTCACCATGTGGTTAACATGGCACGCAAGTCCCCAAAGTACTAAAGTAGCTACTGCTAGTAGTAGATAAAATATGAGTATAATATGGAGTTATCGCGTGTACGTACGTACGCGGTTTTGCTGCGAAACGACATAGATTCTTCTTCTTCATTTATATATACGGTTGTTGTAGTCTAGGTTGTTGGACTAGGTTAGACAGATACGTTAGTATAGCGATGTGATGTAATTCTACCGCAAATACGATGATAGTGAGGCACGGAAGTGCTACTTAATTGTATCTCCTTTGTTGTTTTGTTGTTGTTATTACGTGCCCTCTTCCTAAAATAAACGTCGTTCCCGTTTTTAGAGGAGTCAAACATCTTTAACTTTGATCAAATATATACAAGAAAATATTAATATTTATACTACATAATTATGTTGAATTTACTTTCATAATAAACTTATTTGAAGATACAAATGTTGATAATATTTTCTATAAATCTAGCCAAACTTAAAAAAATTGACCAGCACACATGAATTAACCACTTGTCCTTTCTCTTAGACAATAATTATTGGTTGCAGCAGGAAATGTAACCCGTTCACACTAAAGAGATCTATCATACTTTTTTAAAACTCACGTTCAGCAAATGTATATGTCTGTATTGTTGAATTTATTTTGCATCGCCACTTCTTTTAGTAAGGTAATAGTTCCAAAATTTATACTATGTAGATGGATTACACCCCTATGAAAATCCTCGAATAAAGCCGTTAAATACTCCTTTATCATGTTTCAGAATACTTGATAGAATTCTGCAAGGAGATTCTGAGCCGAATTATGATTCATTTGAAAAATGGTGTCCTTAACTTCAGCTTCCAACAAGTTTTGTGTTTGGATTTTGTTTCCTCTACTGCTATAACTTGAGAAATATCTTCTATACGAGTCTTATCCGTTATCACAAAAGAAGGTTTAGGAGCTCCAAACACGCTCTCGTACATTTTGGTGATATATATACTTTTTAAGCTTAGCATCACCTGACTACAGGGCGTGGCTAGCGCCCGGATGTCCGAACGCTAGCCCCGTCTGGAAGCCCGTGCCTGTCCAGTCTGCTGCGCCTGCACTTTGCGTACCGCCTGAGCCCCCCCATGTGGCGTCTGCGCCCCACCCGACCCAACGCGGCATCTGTACCCTCTCTTGACCCCACGTAGCGTCTGCGCCCTGCACGATCCCTTGCGCCCTCCAGCAGCTGCAGCAGACGGGTCACATTGCAATATGTGGAACACCCGATCTACTTTTGAAACATCTAGATGCAACACTTGAAACATACGTATGGAGATAGATGAAACCCTTGAAACATGCATCTGAAACATTCGCAAAAACAACTAAAAAAACACTTGAAAATCATTGCAAACATACACAACATCAAGATAAAAAACTTACAACATATGTGTGAAACATATGAAATATCTAGATAACCACACTTGCAACATATGTCTGAAAAATCAGATGAAACATTGGGAACAGATGTTTGCAACATACATGTACAACCATTGCAACATATGCAACATCTCGATCTACTTTTGCAACATCGATGCGAAATACTTGCAACATACCTCTGAAACATCTGAAACACTTAAAACTTGCAACATCCGAGGAAGGAAGGGACCACGAGGTGGAGCCGGAGAAGCCTGCTCCGAGTCTGGCCACTTCGGATCTCGTGATGTCATGAGTTGAGGTCAAGCGCCGTGGCGGCACCGGCGTCGCCAGTGGCCACGACCTCCTGGTGGGGAATGGCGACGTCGGCAACACCTCGACGCGGCAGGGGACGGGGCACGGCGCAGCGAGGCGCAGTGGGCGCGACGGGGGATGGAGCGCGACGCAACACAACGCGGGATGGGGCGCCGCCGCGAGGCGGCTTGGGGCGCGCGGACGGTGCGGTGAGCCACAACGAGCGAAGCAAGGAGTTGGGGATTTCTGTCGGCGTTAGCAGTGTAGATAAAGGAGAGAGCGGAGATGGGCTTGATCGCTGTGCTGGCTCGGGAACAGGCGTCCAGACGGACGCCCTCACCACATCATTAGCACATATTATACTCTCCACTTGTTCCAATTGAAAGATTCAAGTTTTTCTATTATCCCCATTCGTCACTAATTAAAAGTACTTAGTATATAGGTATCCCCTTCCAGTAAAAAATTTGAACTTTACTTTTTGATACCATTTTAATCCTTCCTCAGTAGCCGTGCTAGTAGTTAAACGAGAGAATTCTGTATTTGGCACTGAAACAAATCAGTCTTCCGTATTTGGCACTGAGAATTTTAAACTTCCTTATCTTGCATCAACTTGAAAATTTCTTACGTATATGGCACTTCCGTCCATTTGATGCAGTAACGGTGTCAAGTGCCACCTAAAATGACATAAATGCCATTTTATGTACCAGCAACATGTAGTGTCAGATAGAAAAAGAATAAATGGACATAATGTCAAATAAGAAAAGCACAAATATCACAAATATACTTGTGAATGAAACGTAGCATTTTGATAATTGAAGAGTGACAATAATAATCAATAAATTTGATGCGCAAGCTTTATAAATCTGACCACATTGTCAGCATCCTTAAAAAAATGTAAACATCTTGCTGTGCCAGCCTGCGTGCTGTTAGTTTCTTTTACAAAGGTCTGCATGCTGTCGGTGGCGTAAATACAATACACTCCACGCGCCATGATATTTGTAGCACGTACGTACGAGTACATACGTCATCAGAAAAAAAATCCCCACTCCATACGAATTTCATTACACAAGTTACGAACCGAGTCCGAGAAACGCCCCCAGCCCCAGGCGAGGTCCAGGCCCCCCTGCAATAATGCATGACGTCACCATCCTCCGAGCAAATTGTGCTACCCGGCAAAGACAAAACCATCATTAAGCTAGCAGCGGCCACTTCCACCAGATCGATGGGCTGCGGCCATCATGGCTCGCGTCCGGTCCGCCATGATCGCAAGAGGTCAAGCCCACGTAGCACTGACCCATCAGGGCAATCGCCCGTCGTTCCTTGGCTTGTACTGCACGACGAGGCCTTCCGAGTTCCGAACGCCGAGCAGCGTCACTGCGTCAGACAAAGGGAGATGCACTTGATCACCCGTTATTATTGAGCATGTTCGTTTAAACTTATCAACTAGAATCTATAATATTTTTCTCTCAAACAAAAAACAGCTTTTAGTCAGCCGGTTTTAATATCAGCCGAACAGGATTATTCTCTGCAGGCAGAGGACGGGAGGAGGCCTCAACCACCAACACACACCACCGCGCGTCCATCGTCCACGACCGCACCAAACCGTCATGTGAAACGCGCTGGCTTTGGTTTGCTTGCTCACTGTGCTCGTCCTCGACGCAAGGTGTTTACATTTTTTTTTGTTTTTTAAGTATGCTCACAATGGGTCTGTTCGTTTGTCTGAATTTTGGAGGAATCTGGATGATTTGGAGGAATGCTGGAGGAATTTATGAGAGAAAAACACTGTTCCAGATGAAAAAAAATAAGCGGATCAAACCGGGTTTAAAGGCACGCGAATGGGGCCAATGTGGTCAGATTTGTGAAGCTTGTGCATCAAATTTATTGATTATTATTGCCACTCTTCAATTATCAAAATGTTATGTTTCATTCACAAGTATATTTGTGCTTTTCTTATTTGATATTATGTCCATTTATTCTTTTCCTATCTGGCACTGCATGTTGCTGGTATATAGAAGGGTATATATGTCATTTTAGGTGGCACTTGACACCGTTACTGCATCAAGTGGACGGAAGTGAAGGAATTTTCAAGTTGATGCTAGATAAGGAAGTTCAAAATTTTCAGTGTTAAATACGGAAGAATGATTTGTTTCGGTGTAAAATACAAAATTCTCCTTAGTTAAATATATACGCCGAAATTGCATACTCTTTGGAGTTTCAGTCGTTACCAGGAACGGACCTACAGGGTATGCAGGGTGAGCCACCGCATACCCTGAGGTCCGTCCAGTCATAGAGAAAGGTAGAAATTTTCAATGTAAATAAAAATTACATAAGAAATTTTTTTGGTTCACCGAATTATATAAGAATTTTTTTTGCTGCGCATACCCCGAGATAAAAACCTAGGTCCGTCACTGGTCGTCACGAGGACTTGCGAGCAAAACAACAAAACCTTGCAGGCGGCAGGTGAACTGACAAAAGAACCGGCAGGCCAAATCTGAATATTCAGAAACAGCCACAGAAATACAGTGGCGTCAGCGTTAATTACTTTTGCTGACCAATAGTTCATTAGCTTCGAAGCCGGCCGTTCATCGGAATTATCTGAGGAAACGGCCTGTTCACACAAACCAGCATAGCAGCATCCTATATATGCAGCAAACCTGTTGATCAGATTTTTTGTCAGTGAAGTGAACTCGAAAAGAAGGACATCCACACGATCGAGCAAATGGCTCCTGCTTCCTCCCTGCCATGGCCTCTACTCCTGTTCATCGTCTTGGTCTCGTGGTGCGGCCGGAGTTCCGCCGGCGTTGACCCGACCCTGGGCTTCATCGCCGTCAACCTCACCGAGGACCGGTTCAAGCTGCACCACCCGTACGACCTGCCGCCTGAGCAGCGGTACGAGTTCCGCGATGGCGTGCGGCGGATGTGGGTGTACTGCACCGACAAGCCCTTCAGCCGCGGCAGCCCCACCAAGCCGCGCTCCGAGATCCTCCTAAACGTACATATATCTTTAAGCCAACAGCTTCACTAATCTTCCCTATCAACGCTAATCATGTTGCCAATTAATCCTGTCCAGCAGCAATTCAATCCTGAGCTAGCTGTTCGTTCCTACGTGCAGGTGACATACACGACGGGGGTGTGGCAGTTTGAAGGCTACGCGTACGTGCCGGTGGGGACATCCGGCGTGTCGGTGATGCAGGTGTTCGGCGCGTCGGGGCAGAACACGACGTTGAGGTTGCACGTGCACGGCGGCCGGCTCATGTACTACAACGACGAGTCGCGCGTCGTCGACGCCAGCATCTATGACCGCTGGTTCCGGCTCAACGTGGTGCACGATGTCGGCGCGGGGGCACTCACGGTGTTCGTCGATGGCGAGGAGCGGCTCGCCGTCGCGGGACACGGCGGGTACCGCCACTACTTCAAGTTCGGGTGTACACACAGAGGGACCCCTCGCACTACATGGAGTCCCGGTGGAGGGACGTCAATGTCTACACCAAACTCGGTTGAGATTCAGGGCTTCAGGCTGTAGAACACAGATCAAATCGGTGAACCTAAATAAAAGATTTGGATTGGACATAGACATCAGTTGTTTATTTATCGATAGATACTTTGTCGTGTCACTATCATAAATTTATAACGAAGTAAAGTTCCACATGCTGCAACAACGCAAAATTTTCATGTCTGAGATAGTCTGCATAGGATTCATGAGTTAACTTTGAACTTAACATGGCCCCGTAGCGTTACGCGTGTATAGGATTTATAAGTTAACTTAGAGTCACCGTCGCTTGCAATAATAATACCTATGATTTAACTATTTCAATATATTACTAATGGTGAATCTTACCACATGGATACCTTATTCAACAGTATATGTCTGCTACGTGGAATAGTCCTAAAGCCATATATATTTATACGGTGAGTATAATATACATTGTTTTAGGTAGTGTTTGGTTCCTGGGATTTGCTGGGATGGGATGGGATAGTCCTTTTTGGTAGCCTGTTTGGCAGCCCGTCTCCTAGCTCTAGTTCTCCTACCTCTTCCACCATTCTTGCACCCCTATTGTAAGAACTTCAGAGCATTCAAACGAGAACACGTACTCGATCATCTCAGAGACTGGACGTAGGGCACTGGCCTGAATCAGTTTAAATCCTCGTGTCTTTTGGATACTACAATCGTCTTCATAGAGTAGCGCGGCAATCGTATAAATTTATTAGTTTGGTTTACAAAACACCGACACATGTGTTGTTCTATGACGCTTTCGCGTGACGATACCTGATTTCGTCATAGATAAGGAGGGTTGGAGGATCATCACCACTGATCTATGACAAAACTGAAATATTCGTCATAAAAAGTGATTTTTGTGACGATTTTGGATTCGTCATTAAGATTTTTATCATAGAAGTGGATATTTCTAGTAGTGCTCCATGCCCCGCACAGTCACCTGCTCTGGGCCACTACTTGTCGTCGTGGGCTGCTCGGTCACGGGGCCAACTTGCCTGCGTCGGAGCCGCTGCTAGCCCGCCAGGGAGCTCGGCCGTGGGGCCAACTCACCCACGGCGGGGGCGCTTCTCGCCGGAGCCCCGCACTTGGAGCGCCACCCACAGGCCACAGAAGGATGGGGACATCCCAGTGGGGAATATTCCAGGCATATCCAGTTGACTCCCGTCCCTCCATATTGAGGGGACGGGGTGCCCTAGGTGGGACAGCCACGTGCACGCGAGAGGGGATAAGAGGAGGCTCCATCGCCTATAGGCGGTGCTCTAGGTGCGGGGCTCCGGCGAGAAGCGCCCTCGCCGTGGGTGAGTTGGCCCCATGGCCGAACTCCCTTGGCGAGCGAGCAGCGGCTCCAGCGTGGGCGAGTTGGCCCCATGGCCGAGCAGCCCGCGACGGCAAGCAGTGGCCTAGAGCAGGTGACTGTGCGGGGCATGGAGCACTACTAGAAATATCCACTTCTATAACAAAAATCTTAATGATGAATCCGAAATCGTCACAAAAAATCGCTTTTTATGATGAATATTTCGGTTTCGTCAAAGATCAGTGGTGATGATCCTCCAACCCTCCTTATCTATGACGAAATCAGGTATCGTCACGCGAAAGCGTCATAGAACAGCACATGTGTCGGTGTTTTGTAAACCAAACTAGTAAATTTATACGATTGCCATGCTACTCTATGAAGACGATTGTAGCATCCAAAAGACATGAGGATTTAAACTGATTCCGGCCATTGCCCTACATCCAGTCTCTGAGATGATCGAGTACATGTTCCTCGCTTGAATGCTCTGAAGTTCTTACAATAGGGGTGCAAGAATGGTGGAAGAGGTAGGAGAACTAGAGCTAGGAGACGGGCTGCCCGAAGGGAAGCTTCAGGAGCCCTTCTACGGTGTAAGAATTAGTGAATGAGAGTCGGATCCCCAAGATGGGTGCCCTGGCTGCCCTTATATAGAGTTTGGGGCCAGGGCGTGAATAAAGAAGAAGGTTCTCCCGACCGAAGAGTCGTGAGCTTGAGGGATGACCTAGCTAACTTGGCTTGCAAGCTGTGCCGTCTTGTGGTGCATGTCCAGGCGTGGTTGTCATCACGGTCCTATGGCCACGTCGTGGCATGGTGTGACGTGGTGCTACTGTGCTGGCCGTGGCGGCACTGTAGACACGGTGGTAGTTCGCCAGCCGTCATGTGCGATGTGATCTCCGCCGTGGTCTTCGTTATGGCCACCTGGTTTCCTTAGGCATCGTACAGGAGTTGGTAGCTGCTCCTGGGTCGTCGGTCACCCTGCTGGCTTGAGGAGCTGAGGGCCACGATCCTGAGCTCTAGGGTCATGGCTCCCGCCGGTCTGGATGGCCTTTAAGTCAAGTCGAGGCCTTCGTCATGGATCCCATCCCATAGTGGTTAGAATCGTACATGCGTCTTGTCGGGTTGTATCTGGCCGGTGAGTACCGTTCCAGCCATCATTGCTTTGGGCGGTGTTGTCTTATCTGAGCTACGTGGCGCAGGGGTGGTGTCTGACCGGACCTGTCACCTCAGTCCTTGTGGGGTTAGTGTGGCATGCTTACTCTTGTCAGAGCAGGCACGTTTAGCTGGGCTTGACCTCTCCCCGTTCCTCCCAGTGGTCGGGATCGCGGAGAGGTTGTGAGTCTCTTGCGTGTTGTGCGCTAAGGTAGGAGGAGGGGTCATGGTCGACCCTGGCCTTTTTGTCAGACCTGTTCTGCTTGGCTTAGCTAGGCCTTGGTCATTTGGGCCTTCACTAACTGATGTGTCGTGGGCTGCTCGGCCTACTAACTAATCGATGCCTCGAGACACCCCGGGGTTGTAACCCCGACAGTAGCCCCCGAGTGTTTTTGCGATCACGAAGTGATCATGAAAGAAATGTATTGCGTGCATATCAAATGCGGTTTCGTAGTTCGTGGCTTGTTTGAGTTTTGTCGCTCGACCCCTTGTGGGCTGGTGCGTTCAATGCAGTAGGTAGCTGTTGTGCTCCACCCCGTCAGGATGCCCTGACGATGTGGTACATGACCGCTGAGCCCTGCTGTGTCAGTGTGCTACGTATCGGGGTTCATGACCCAGGCAGGACCGAGTGGTCTCGTCGATGCTGTACTGGTCCCACCTTTGTGAGAGTTTTGATTTTCCTGACCTCACACGGGAATCTAACATTGGCTATGGCCTCCCATGATTCGCCACACGACATGGGGTCTCAGGCTATCTAGTCCATCCCTAGCCTATAAATGGAGGCCTTCCTATTGTTTGTGGCACTCGTGACCGTAACTATGAATAGTTCTTCCACCTCTCTAAGCGGTTAGGTGTTGAGAGGGCGAGGAGATGAGGGAATGGAGAGAAGGGTTCAAGGGGAACTACGTGGTTCCCATTATACATCCACTAGGGGTCATTTGTGATGGCCGGAGCCAGTGTCGCCTTTTCCTATAAATGGAGGCCTTCCTATTGTTTGTGGCACTCGTGACCATAACTATGAACAGTTCTTCCGCCTCTCTAAGCAGTTAGGTGTTGAGAGGGCGAGGAGATGAGGGAATGGAGAGAAGGGTTCAAGGGGAACTACATGGTTCCCATTATACATCCCACTAGGGGTCGTTTGTGATGGCCGGAGCCAGTGTCGCCTTTTCCTACGGCTGGTGCTAGAAGGAGATTTGCGAGCAAGGGGGTAGGAGATGTTGTAGGCACCAAGTTCGGTCATACATGACCTCAGCCCTTCATCCCACCATGGCTTCTTGCTCCAAACCACGTTGGTTCGAGTGCCTAAAGCGAACGATGGCTAGGGATGTCTCTGGCTTCCTCTAGAGTTCTACGCGTTGGTTGGCGGTGCGTCGTGATCTTTGAGGAAGGTCACATGATGCTCACTTCATGCTATTCGTGGAATGGGAGGAGGATGAAGTAGCACTGCCTCATCACGTTGCCTATGCCAAGCAAGGCATAGTCATGATATGGGTGCACTTTGGTCGTCGGTTGGTCTCCCTTTGCCATCGTGAGGATGGGAACGACTCCTGTTGGCTTGGTGGGCTCCATGCTTCCCAGGAGTGCTTCTTGGAAGTCTCCTGGTGCATGCGAAGGATCCCCCAAAGCTGTCGAAGCCGTCACCCTTCCCCTCCCATGCTCTATCCACAGAAGCATGGTGCTTGTAAGAGGGATGGTGGGGCAAACCTTGACCTCACCTTCCCAGCTTTTGTAGCACCCACCCTCTGGCCTTCAGAGGTACCACCACCAAGGTGGCATCGTATCCTTTGTACTTTTTGTTTTTTGAGTGGCGCGGTCGCTCTCATACTTGTGGATACTGAGGAGTGAGTCCCCTTTCCTCAATGCTGACGCTCCTTTGCGGAGGCGGTGAGCCCCGAGTCACGGGATTGGGGTCATGGATTCAGCCTACGGTCATTGGTGGGCCCTTCTCATGCTAATGATGAGAGGAAACACTTCCTCGACCTCTATTTGCATGGCTGCGAGGCTTTTTGTGACCATGCGTTGGCTCATAGGTCGGGACCTTCTTGTATCTTCCACGTGATCGAGCCATGATCACGTTTTGGGCTCTGCATTGCTTCATATAGAAGACTCCACTACATTACCTGGGCTGTCTGCTTCATCGAGATCTCCTGGAGGGGTCATGGACCTCTAACGGTTTGCGAGTTTTCAAAGCTACCCTTAGGTCTTCAGACCTGGAGATGTTGGGCAAAGTTTTGGTTGTGGCTTGGCCTTGACCCATTGTAGAGTCACAGGGACCTGGCTCCATTCTCCCATGCATCTTTGCCAACCTTGAGGGGTCGTGTTGCCCTATTATAGGTGGGTTTGGTTTTGCCTCACGTGAGGAGAGGCATGTCCACCGTAACCACGCGGTCGAAGCAGTGCACCTCGTCGGGGTCAATGGGTAATCCAAGCAGGACCCGATATACTCCCTAGTCGACGTGGAGTTTGGCTATGCCTCATCGAGAGACATCCCATAAATCATTGTCCGTCAAACCCGTTGGTCCCTGACCGCCTTTGTAGCTATGTCAGAGGGCAACATGCTTCCCCTAGAGGGGGTCAACCTGGGCGA